AGCTTTTGCATACAGTACTTTATTTTGATTGAACAAAGAAAATGTAGTTTATAATTCAAAGGTGAATTGTTATTCCAACACGGTGTACTTTAACTGATCTAGAAATACTGACATCCTGATTATTTGACTTTAAATATATGACTTCAGTGCCTGGAGGGAATAGTCTCTAAATGAATCTGCCTGGACCTAGGAATAGCAGTTACCTGCCTTGCTTATCTGTGCACGCTTTTTAGCAATAGGTGTCTTTTTTGGTTCAGCTGAAACAGAAAATCTTGAATTGCTGGGGTTTTTTCTTCATCAAATACTGTTGTTGGAGAAACCAAAGGCTACATTTGTAAAGTATGCCTTTGCCTAATGTGCCTCATTTATATTTATGTTTCTTCTAGGCAAGGTGGATCAAAGCAAAGGGAATGAGGGATAGAGTAAGGGCACAAGACCCTTAACATACAAGAATAAAAAATATATTGCAATAAATTGCATCTTATAGTGCTGCTTATTCTGCTTTCTTTTTCATTCTGCATCTTCAGATTGTTTTACAAACTTATAAAATGCAATTTGTTGAAAGTCTGAATAAAGGTCTCTTCTATAAAAGTTTTGCAAATAACAGGTGAATGTGCAGTCTCCTCAAATATTTAGCAATAGCTAGAAAGCTGATCAGTGTCAATATTTGCATATATTTTTTTGAAGAGTTTTGACCTGACCATCATTGTTGAGAGAGATTTACATATGGAAATTATATTGAAATCAAGGAAACCAGCTTAATCTTTACATGTTTAGGGTTCTCTTGGCTTTATCTTGTCTTGTGTTGCTTCAGGCTAGCTTGGCATGAAAGCTGCATTTTCAGTAGGGCGAAGGGGTGATTACAGGAAAGATTGCTTTGCCTGGTTCAAGCCTTCTGATTTGTTGCAGTGTTTCAGGTTTGTGTTGCATGCTTCCACTGGCTCACTCTTACAGCTGCTCTCTTGGGCAGCAATGGAACTTGTACGGCAGTCCTTACTCAAGGGTGTACAGAAGGGAGCAATCTAACCCATACAAGTTCTGTGGAAAAATATTCAGTTTTGAGATATTTTCTAAGGTGTCTGTTCATCATTTCATGCTGTGGGTATATGTTGGTGTATGTTTCTCTGTATTTTTTGCAGGGTTTGGGGATGTATGGGGTTTTTGGTTCTTGGATGAAGAGTTTTGTTTGATTGGTTTTCTTTGTTTTGTTTGTGGATCTTAAAAAACACATTTTTTATTTTTTTACTCTAGCAGTGTATTAGGTGCAGTCTCCAGACTCCTTTCTTCTTCCATGCATACAGTAGTGTAGTAAAAAGGATAAAAACTTAAAAACTTGTGATGAAGTCTCTATCTACTGCCTTGATTTACTGTTCTTTTGTCACTCAGGGCCTCTGAAGAGTCTTCTCTGAGTTGTTGCAAGTTAGCTTCTCCTCACAATTCCCTGCAATAATATATTTAAATTAATACATCCAAAATCATTAATAGACTAAAATTAATAAAATAGTGCAATACATATAAAGAGATAGAGGTCAAGGTAGAGAGAAACTGAGACTATAACTGTTTTTTTCTGAGATATATGTTCAGAAGTGTATTTCTTTGTTTCTCGTTTCTCCTTGTCTTTGAATATTCTAAATGAGAGTGTTTCCTGTCTCAGTTTTTGCTATGTGAGATGCATGCAGTGAGAGAAAGAGTTCAGCTAGTAAGGAAAAAAGTCCTTGGCCCCAAAATTCTTCCACAGCATGGCTATAAAATGTAAACAACTGTGTCAGAAACCACCTATGGCATGTAAGTAGTGTGTCATGAAACAGGATGCTGTTTGGATTAAAAGGCCAGAGAAAGGTGGTGTTGTGAAGGAATCTTTGTTTCTGCTACTGAGTTCTGTTCACAGGGGACAGGTGGGAGAAATCGTCTTGATACCTGCAGGGTTGTCTTGGGTTGCAATGCAAGATGTAATCAAAAGTATGCATTCTATTACCATATATTAAAACCAGGTATGGCAGTGTTCTTCATCTCTTCAATGACCCATCTTCCCTCCAGGGGGATATCTTCTGTTAATGGGCCATTGAGTCTCACTGCATGACTGATAAAATTACATCATCCCATTGTGAGATGCTCCACCCAGGGGGAGGAGCCAAGCTTTCCTATCTAGATATAATCAGAGATTTAGAACACCACAGGTAGCCTTTCTTCACTGAGAAAGGAAGACTGGACCCCTCTGCACCACCACTGGACCGTCAGAGGAAAACTACACCCTTCTAAAGGATCATTGCTTCAACAGAACCACATCTGTAACTCCAAGAGGACTGCAGCCATCATTTAACTGGACTGCTACCAACACCCTGACAAACAAGGTGTCAGGTTGTATTCTGATTCTGACTCTATATTCTACTGTCACTATTTTTTTTTTTTGTATTACTGCATTTTTATTTTAATCTCCCTAGTTAAGGACTGTTATTCCTAGTCCCATATCTTTACCTGAGAGCCCCTTGATTTCAAGATTATAGTAATTCAGAGGGGGAGTTGGCTTACATTTTTCCATTTCAAGGGAAGTTTCTGTCTTCCTTGGCAGACACCTGTCCTTTCAAACCAAGACAAGGGTACAAGACATCAGGCCTATTAACATTTACATCTTAGTCATTACTAATACTACTATTAGTCCCATGAAATTAAGTATCCTTTTTGTAATGGAAACCAAGGCATACATACCCATATGTGTATTTAATATTTGGATGAAGAGTAGCGGTCTTTTTCTTTCTTTCTGGAGAAACAGGATTGTCTTTTTGCTGTGTTTGCTGAGTAGAGCTAGGGGTTTTTTGAAACTTGGCTGGGATTGGGAAAACCTGGTTACATAAAGACCATGGGCTTCATTTACAGACAGAGAGACTGAGAAAGCTTTGATTTCAGTGCAAGTGTTTCATTTTATTCTTGTTTAATTCCATTTCCATTATATTCACACATTTATGAGTATTTCTGAGACTTTCAAAATTAAAAGAAAGCTTTGGATTTTGTTTGAGCTTTTTTTGTTTTGTTTTTTTTCTGTTCTTGTTTTGTTTTTTGGTTTGTTTTTAATTTTGTTTCAAATGAGAAAATACCTAAGTCTTGGGATACTTGCTGCTACACTGTGAGCAGATAAAACCCAGTTTTTGAGACCTTCATGAAGGTATCAGACCTTCATTTTGCTTCCTAAATTCACAAACGTAATTTTACAGAAATGTGAATTAGAAGTAGCTGTTAGTAGTGTATTTGAATGATCTGTAAACTGTGAATAGAAACACTACAACCCACATAGACTACTTGAATTTGTGTAAGAATAGTGCATCATACATTTAAATATAAATCTTGCAGAAAATGGACTATTAAACATTGGATCAAGTGCTTTATGCACTACATGCATTAGTATTCAGAATTTCTATTAAAAGATACTGCCTGCTGTGAGCCACAAGCAATTTGTAGGGCCAGATTCATATTGGTGCATGATATCATAAAATACTTCTTAGGAAAGTAAGAATGTGATTCTAACTGCCTCGAAACTTCTTTTTTTTCAGTAAGTTAAGAAAATTTTGCAAAGAAGCTAAAATTGACTATTAAATTTACTTCTCAGAGGTATTATGTCTTTAATCTATTTATTTAGTTTAAATTAGTGAGGATTAGAAGTGTCCACATCTAAAGACACTTTAGGCAACTAAAGGCAGCAAAATAAGGTGGTAAGAGAAGAGCAGTTTGTCTTATGAAGGCTGGTGCTAGTAATGTTAGGGACCAATGTGTACTATCCATTCTGCCTTCTGAATGTAGCTTTTAGAACACACTGCTGTTATTGTGGAGTGTCTTCATTAACAGCCCTTTGTTTTATGCATCTAGGATGTTTATTTTATGCAAATAGAAAGTTTCCACCTTATTAAACAGCACAATACAGTTCAGTGAGATCAAACATCAAAATCACTGATTTTCTTTTCCTGAATTTCTCCATTAATTAGCAGAGTGACACTTCTGCCTTTATGGAGCTGTCTTAAATCTCTGGTCTTCCCCCATGATAGGCAATGATGTCTCATATCTGCGTGTTATCAGCATGCAAGCCTATGTAACTCACTAAAGCTGCTAGTGGTGAAAGTTTCTTTTGGGTTGTATGATTAAGTTGTTACTGCTTGGCACATTTTTAGTGATGAAACAAAAGGAACTGGGTTGGATCTAAAATCATATTGACACCATACATATTCTATTACTTATATAAAGGTCTGGTTATTGGATATTTCAAAAAATTGAGGAGTTGAACTTCAACTTTCTTTCTGATTCTGAATGAAAATCATTGCATTGCTGATTGGTATCTAAATTTTATTAGAAAGGGGTCTTCATCATTTGAGTCTGCAAGTCACAGCCTTGTCATCAGTCAGGAAATGGATCGGAACTAAGGCAATGTCAGAACCAGTGACCATCACTGCTGTAAAGCAGAAGTGTGTGTCAGAGCATTGGGGTGAATCATGTCCTACTCCTTTCTGTGCTGTACCATACAAACTCTACAGATCAGCAAAAAATACATGCTCTAGGACTTTTTTTCTCTCAAAGTAGTCATTGACATGAGGGAGCAATTCCTTTTCTACCTTGTACTTGCAAGAAGTCAAAGCACTCCTTCATCACTGAGGATATCAGGGCAAGAAACAGTGGATACAAATGAACAAGAAAGATAGATTTAAATATGTTTGCTTTAAGATGATAAAATAGAAAACTGCTGGAGAATATTATTTTCCCCACATATTACAAAATAAAAAAGAGGGACTAATGAATATCAGTATTTTAATCCTGATGGGTGATAGATCAATTTTCCTAAATTGGGTAACTGATGATAGGTACGTGAAGTAATTAGAGGAGCAGATGACAGCATGCTTTTGAGTAGTCAAATGCTACACAGAAAGAAAGCAATGTTGTTTTGTTTTAAACTTCAAGAACTGTCTAATTTTTTCTGTGGTTTGCTCTTGTTCTTAAATAAATTTCTTTGAATTCTCCAGGTGCTCTTCCTACATGAGTGCACGAAGAGTAGACCAGTAAAAGAAGTGACTCCTGTGGAGAACAGCATGACCACCATGAAAGGAAGTTTCTTTCTCACACTGCTCTTGGCAGGACTTGGGGGGTCAACAACAACAGAAGATACCCACTGCCACAGAGCTGAGCACCCAATTATTGCATACAAAGGTAAGGTGTAAATGCCAAAAATCTTTTCCAGAAATAGGCTAAGTATTGTGTTATCACTTCATGGAAACCTCTGCTTTTAATGTAGAATGGCATGGAAAAACACATTTCTTCAGTACTTCTATGTAAAAATCTGGGCTGTGTTCTGTGCAAATTTAATACATGCAGTCTTTCAAATTATGTTTGACCCAAGCCCAGAGTTTCTTGGCTAGCTCAGAGATGGGGGTTTTTCCTCACTCTGGCTTGAGCCCAGGAGGAGTAGGATTTGAGCTCACCAATGCAATTCTTGAACTCAAATCTCTCAAACGAGTAAAGAAACAGGGGGGACCCTTCTGCTGGGTTATGTTCCACAGTTGATTTCTGTGAAGGGAACTCCAGAGAATGAGACAAAATAATTAGGATCTGGGGTGCTTCTTTTAACAGGGGCTTCTTCAGAGGGTGGGAACTTTGGAGAGAACCAATTATTTTCCACAGATAGCACATTTACAAACTTTCTACACATCAAGGTTAAAAACGCTAAGACAATAAATAACAGATGTACATTCCCTCGAATAAGAAACATCATGCATGGGATGTACAGAGTAAACCTGAAAGCACAGGGCAGAGGTTGGGATAAAGGTACACACCCAGCCTCCTTTAGATGGGACAGAGGAATATGCACGGAAGCTAGAGGCAGTGTCTACAGGCAGGGACCAGAAGACAAAAGCTTGAGTTCCCACGTGCTGGGGAGCGGGCTCCGGGAAAGGCAGCGGCGTTTCTCCTCCTCCCCCGCCTCGTTCCCTCCCCTGCCTTTCTCGTGACAGGGCTAGAGAAACACAGAGCGGCTGGAAATGACAGCAGCGCCCTCCCTCCTCCCTCCTATATTGTTCTATTGCTCCCCTTCTTGATTAAGGTGTTAAACAGGATGGGTCCCAGGATCAACCCTGGTGTTATTCCACAGGCCTGTGGCTCAGGTGAAGTAAGAGGTATTAAACATTTACTCTCCAAATGGTAGTTCTTGAACCCCTTCTGCAAAACAGCAGATGCCTTTGATACCTTAACGGTGGTATTGAATACCTCAGTATCATCCATTTCTGCTGCCATTAGGTCATCTTCCCAAGTCAGCAGCAGGCTGATATTTTTCCTGTTCAACCTTTCATCTCTGTTCCGCCTTCCATTACTATTGGGGCACTAGAAGCTGTTGCTGTTGCCTTTGACATTCCATGCAAATCTTAACTCCCACTGAACTTTGTTTAACATGACGTAACCCCTGCATGCCCATATGGTCTTTCTAAATTTTTCCTTGTCCCTGCTTATGCCTGATACAGCCCTTTTTCCATTGGACCTGCACCACAGGTTCCTTCCTTCACCAGGACAGTCTTACCATAGATGTGGTTGTCATCTTGAGTATTGGGATGGAACGCTGAGGAACAGTTGGAACAAAGCAAAGAATACTTGGAGGATGTTTTCTGTGAAAACCTGAGGCAGTTAACAACTTATCTGACTTCTTTTGTTTATTTGAATTGAGATTTTTCCATTTGTGTCACAACTTAGAATGAGTTCCAAATAGTTTCTAGTTACGAGCATGTAGGGATTAAGATGTTTTATATTACACACTGCATTTCTCCTGTTTCTCTAAGAAAACACATGTTTTTTGTTCCAATGAATTAGAATTTATTGAATTTTAATTGAAAAAATATTTGTTTCTATTCTTTCCATGAATTTAGAGAGAATAATGTTATGTTTTTACAGAAAGCATTTTGTTCTGGCACTATAATGGTTTAATAATAGTAATGGTACCAGCTGTCCTGTTCAATACACTGGAGAATGAGCTCTGTACCTCAGAACAGCAAACCACCAGTATATTGTTAAGGAGGAACCTTTATTACTCACTTATTGTTGGGCTAAATAGTATGAGTTATTCTGATGAAATATCTGGTTTTCCTTAGCATTTATATTGTGTGTATAATTTAGTTTAAAATGTTGCTTTTTATCAGAATATGCATACACAATATTCTAAATTAAAGTAATTAAAGTAGCACAGTTAAAATTCTGGCACTTAGCTTCTTAATTTCACAAACTACGAGATCACTGCATGTACTTTTAAATTTTGTATATGCAACCGTAAAGGAAAATAATAGACACTCATTAGCAGTGCTGTGTTTAACAAGTTGATTAAAAATGTGTCATTTTATGAACCTAATTCAGCCAGTATTTAGGAGGGTTTCTTGAATTTAGGCTGATCCTGCCTTCTAGACCCTTCTTGTTCTCTGTCATATTTAATTCCTAGTGATGTCCTTCCAGTTCTAAGTCAGTATGCTAAGGCTTTTTGGGGATGGAGTCCATATTGTTCCAGTTGCATCTTTTGATATAGCCAAAGATAGTATCACAGTTAGAGTTTGCCAACAAAAAACCCCAATTTATGTTTACTGTAAATATATGTGGGAAATATAACTATATAGGAACATTTATGATCAGATCTTTAATATGAGCTCTAGTAAGATTTTGAATGCCAGACTCCCTTTTGACCTTTATGGTAAAAATACAATTAATTAGTACATACCCATGACATACCTTAGCCTTTTTGAACTGACAACTCTTGAAAAATATTCTGACAAGCTGTAGTTCATACTTCACACAATAATCTATTGGGAGTCCTTAATAACTATTAGAAAGTACATGTAAAAACACATTTGCAATACAGTATACAGCACGTGATAGCTGAGTAATGTAGTTGGTCTGGGCACACAGCACTTGACCTGTAGTTGCAGCACTGCCAGTTAATGGAAAACAGAAGTTTTGACACCCCAGGAAAAAGTGCCTGAGAGGCACTTGTCTTTGTCTTTGAATCTATATGTTAGGAATGGAATTATTTAGTATCAGAATATAAGAAGAGAGCTGTGTGTGAGAAGCCCCTTCTGAATGAGTCTTGCAACAGGAGTTGGCAGGTTTCAACCAGCCTCCTTACTGATAACCATATTCTTCCTTTGTCATTTGTTTACTTCATGAATGCCTATAGGAAAATCCTCTCTGTATATATTGATGTTGTTAGTGCTGCTAGACCAACATGGAGTTGAGAAATCAATTTATAACTGTTAAAATCCCTTTGAGTGCTGCATTAATACCCTAGTCTGTAAAATCATCTTGTAACAGTATTAGATCCACCAGAGGTAAATACTGTGTGGGATGCTGAACATCAGCCAAGGCTGAGTGCTATTGAATGGTATGTACTTTAAAGCTTGTAAACTCAGTACTAACTTTACAGAGATATCAACACTTTTATTTATAACTGATCAAAGCCTCTTTTTTGTAGTTTCTGGTGTGCCAAAGTAGCAATGTACTTATTTGATTTGTCTTCCTTTGAGAGGTATGGTAAATGAAGTATACATTATTAAATAAAACTAATGGAGTGAGCGTCTGGTGCAGCGTATGGATGAACAGCTGCAAAAAAAAAAAAAAAAACAAATAAAAAGACAAAACAGTCCCCAGGAGTTGTCACAGTGAAATATGGAATGGGACTATATCTCTTGAAAGAGCTTACTTTCTTTCCCATTGCCCATCAAAAATTGCTCACTTAGGTGATGATTCTGTCAAGATACCTTGTGTAGAGATTCATATACTATTTCTAGCACTGATTTTTCCAGCTAAATAGTTGTCTCAGTTTTAGAGGACAGGTGTCTGCTAGGGAGGGCAGGAGCCTCCCTTGGAATGAAATAATGTAGACCCTCTCCCTCCGAATTACTATAATTCTGAAATCAAGGGGCTCTCAGGCAGAGAGATCTGGGGATAGGAATAACAGTTCTTTACTAGTATTTTTAACATGGCAAACAAACAACAGTAACTACAGCATTAGCAAGAAAACAGAACCAGGGACTCCGGGACAGCTTTCTCGGCTGAGACGGGAAGAGGATTGAAGAGAGCCTTTGCTCCACAACCCGCCTCGGGCGGGCAGTCCCGGTGCTCCTGCAGGGCTCTGAGGAACAGTCAGCTGGAAGAGCAGGGATGAGCTGAGATCCTGGGCCGGTGGCTGAGGTGTATCAGCAGCTCCACGGCGGTGCCTGGCACTGCCACACGTCCCGGCAGGACAGGGGGTGTGAGGCCACCAAGGAAGAGGGAAGAAGGAGAAGCAGCAGCAGCTCTGTCTGGGTGATGGCGAAATTCCCTTCTCCCCACCGCAACAGCTCTGTGCCCAAAGTGTCTTTTTCCGAAGCTGAAGAAGCCCGCCAAACTGTCCCTACCTTCTTTTTTTCCTGCCCCTTTCCCTCCTGGGCCCGGCCAAACTCTGTCTTTTGTCAAGCACCCACCAAGTACTTGCAGTCAGGTTTTCCCCCCCCGCAACTAATGGGTAAAAATTCCACAGGCAAGCCAGAACTAAAAAAAAGGACACTTAACCCCCAACAATAGTTTTAGTTGAAGACTGTGATATATATTCTGATAGCAAATGGCAAGAATTTCACCCACTAGTTCAGAACTTCTGCTCAAGTACTTTGCTGGTGGAAGAGGAAAAAGAAGATGCAGTAGCAGGAGATGCACACACTTTGAAAGGATTTTTAACATGATCTCAAAGATTTCATTTTCTGTCACTTATACACAGTATTAATAACCATGTTGTAATTTATCTCCATAATTAATATTAGAACTGCATAATGCACCTTTTGCTATCCCAGAATCTATAAATAAGAAAGTCTGCTATAGATCAGAAAATGCTAGCAGCTCAAAAATTTCTTGTCATAGAGCTTCCTTAAAGTAGAATAAGGCTCTTTGTGCCTTCCTTGGAAGATGAAAATTTCCTCTTCTCATTATTTAATTATTTAATATCATATATTAGATAATATGTATATAATATATAATATATATTATATAATTATTAATAGTTAGAACATATAATAACAATGTAGTAATATATTATATTATATTAATTATAATTTGTTAGGAATTATCACAGAAAACAGATTTATATGAAATAGACCACTAAGTATTGGAGGAATTGACAGGATCAGCCCAGGAGTGTGCAGTTCAGTGTT